TTAGATATAGTCACGTATGAAGAAGTAGTCAAATTACCGAGTAAGTTATAAGAATTAATACCAAAAAAAACAAGAACATAATCGATATCGATTGTAATTATTATTATTATTATTATTTTACAGACTTTCATAGGAAAACGTTGGTTTTATTAGGAGCACATGGAGTCGGAAGACGTCATATAAAAAACACATTAATAGCCAAACATCCAGATAAATACGCATATCCGATTCCGCGTGAGTAAAAAGAAAATTTAAATTTTTTTTTTTTTTTTTACATGAGTGAATCATTATTATTATTATTTAAATTCCTAGACACGACGAGACCTGCCAGAAGTGACGAAGAAAACGGTCGAAATTATTATTTTGTCACACACGATGAAATGATGGCAGACATTGCTGCTAACGAGTATTTAGAATACGGTGAGAATGATGAACAACAATTGCGAATCTTTTTTTTGGGGGGCATGTTTTTTAAGAATGGCTTTTTCTTGCAGGTACACACGAGGATGCCATGTACGGAACAAAATTAGAAACAATTCGTAAAATACATCACGAGGGAAGAATGGCAATACTCGATGTCGAACCACAAGCTCTTAAAGTTTTACGAACGGCCGAATTTGCTCCCTACGTTGTTTTCATAGCAGCTCCTGTTCTACAAAATTTAGCAGACGTAATAATAATAATAATAATAATAAATAATTGTTGTTTTGGCACGAAGAAAATGACGTTTATTATTTTTTGTTTTTTTTTTTTTTTTTTTCGCAGTACGATGGAAGTTTGGAGAGACTCGCAAAAGAATCGGATTTGCTACGACAAGCCTACGGACATTTTTTCGATCTCATTATCGTTAATAACGACATAGAAGAAACGATAGCAAATTTGGAAAAATCAATTGAAAAGGTTCACAACACACCTCAATGGGTTCCCGTTTCGTGGGTTTACTGACAAAAATTATCATCAGGTTCGTCAACGCCACTCGAATAAATAAAATAATCAACAAAGCGGGTTTTCTCTGATAGGTTTCCTCCCCCTTTCTCCCTCACCCCCCCCTTTTTTTTACATTTGCAATAAAACAAACGAAAATAAATAGAAGAAAAGGCAAAATCGTCATCATCACCGGTAAAAAAAAAAAAAAAAAAATTAATTAATTAATTAATTTAAATGAGTTTATCAAAAAATTTCCTTTTTTTTTTACTTTTTTATTTATTTTTTTTTCAAATTATTGTTGCTTAAAAATTATTAATTTTTTTTATGTATTGAAATCCGACAGTTTTAGTGCTCTTAAAGCGTACAAAATAAAAGAATAATAATAATAATAATGAAAAGAAAATAAAGTATAATATTTTTTGTAAATTTATATATACATATATATATATATATATATTGAATCAGATAGATAGTTTTGCCTTTTGAATAAAACATTAGAAATGTAGTCAGGTGTGTGAAAAATGCTATTAAAAAAAAAAAAAAAGAGTTAAATAATAATGATAATAATTAATAATTAATAATCATCGCTTGCTTTTATTTATTTTTATTTTTTTTTTAACAAAAGAAGTGAATGTCACAATAATTTATTATTTTTTATTTTTTTTTTAAACAAATAATTTTTTTTTATTATTAAAAACACGTACGAAAATAGTAATGATAATAATAATATAGGTTTAAAAAAAAAAATGAAATTAATTAATGAAAAAAGAATGATTGTTATTATTATTATTTTTTTTTTTTTGGAAAAGTGTAAAAGAAAATTAGAAGACTATAATAATGATGAGTAGGAAAAAAAAATAATTAATAATTATTATTATTGTTAATTGGGAAACCATACGTGAGTTATTATTATTATTCAAGCAGAGTAAAAGAAAATTTTTATAGAACATAGGGAAAAAATGCATTTTCTGTTTTGTTTTTATGGTTTCCCTAAATAAAAATAAAAAAATAAAAAATTTATTTAATTGTTGTCTTCCTAATGTGTCTGTGTGTGTCTGTGTAAATCTAATTAAAAAATGGATTTGTTTGTTTGTTTGTTTGTTTTGTTTGTACGACGTAGAAAAAAAGGTTTTTTAATTTTGCATAATATTATTATTATTATTTTATACGGAGCATGCAGGGGAAAGAAATTTAAATTTATATTTATTGTAAATTTTGGGCTGTGTATGAAAAAAAAAAAAAAATTTTTTTCTTTTTTTTTTAAGTTGCAACAATTAATTTGATTTTATATTTTTTTTGATAAACTCATTTTTTTTTTTTTTTAATTTTTAATTTTCTTTTATTTATTTTATTTATTTTTCTTTTTATAAAAAGAAAATTTTTATACCGGTGATTTAGTGCAATTTAAATTCTAAAAAAAAAAAATTATTTTAAATTAATAATAATAATAATAAAAAAAAACACACACACACATAAAAAAAAAAAAAATATTGTGACACTAACACATTTAGAAATTATTATTATTATTATTATTATTTTAAATAATGTACTTTAAAAATCTCTTTCTCTCTTTCTCTCTCTCTCTCTCTCAAAACAAATAAATAAATAATTCAAAAAGTAATAAATTATTATTAAATGATATAATAATAATTTTAATATTAAAATATTTGTTTGATCTGTTTAATTAATTTTTTTTCTTATTGTTATGTAAATATGCTGCTACTGCCATACCGAGAACATACATAATAACAATTTTGTAATTGAAAACATTACATATGAAAAGAAATTTAACACAATTTTTTTTCCCTTTTTAATTATTATTATTTTCTCGATTATTTATTTAAATAATTATATATATATTGATATATATATATTGAAGTTATAAAAATGCAAATGATTATTTGTTTTTATTAAAATTAGTTTTTATTAATCACCTAATAAGACATAATATTAATTTGTATTTTTCGGCTAGATAATAAAAAAGAACCATGTATCTTTCATTAATGATAAAAATATAATTATATATATATCTTGTTTTCACAAAATGAATATTTGGTAATTTCCTTACCTAATGTTATTCGATTAACATTCCTTAAGTCATGATATGACTTAATGTTTAGTTTGTCGAAATGTGCAGTACACTTCACATTAAAATTATAATTAATTGTATAAAAATGACATCACTTTTGTTAAAATGATAACAGTGGAAAATTTTCTATTCATTTCTCATTATTTTTTGTTATTCTTTAAATAAATATGACTTCATATTGTTTTAAGGCAGATATTAAAAATTTATGAATTTTGTTTTTTTACATAAGTTTTTATTATGCCTAACTCTGTTTTAAAAAAACGATATTGTTAAAATTTAGGTATAAAACATTTTGTAATTTTGTTTAATACAAGAGAAACAAATTTGGATTAATGGGTAATATCATAGTTTTTATCAAAAAGCAATTTAAATTTTCAAACAGTTAATTTTAAAAAAAAAAAAAACAAATTTTCAGAGTGATTGGTTGTTTTTTTGTCGCCATCTTGTTTTTTTTTCGTCCAATCAAGTTTAAACATTTTTAACATTTCGTTATCGTTTATCATAAAGTATTAAAGATAAAAAGAAAAATTTTTATTTTTATTTTTAATTATTCACCATGATTTAATTTAATTACTTTATTATCGTTATTTGTTATTTTGTTAATTGTTTTTTAATCATGTGAAAAATATTAAGAGATATCTTTTATTTTAATATATATTTATAGCTCAATGTTTTTAAATACTTTTCGGCACTGTGTATATCATTCAAAACCAGTTTTCACTAGAACAATGTCTGTTTATAGCGTTTACATTACTAGGCCTGATATACCAAATATAGCGATAGAATTACTTAAAAAGAAGTAAGTTTATGGTTTACTATTGATATTATTAAGAATACATTTCATATTTTTAAAATTTCTTCTTGAATTACTCAGAGGTTACAATGTGACTGTGTGGCCCCATATGACTCCAATTCCTAGGGAGGAACTTTTGAAAGAAATCGTCGGAAAGGATGCTTTGTATTGTGTTATTACTGATAAAATAGATGCTGAAGTTTTAAATAAAGGTAATGAAATTACATGTTGTATTTTCTAAAAAAGTCTTTTCTAGTTTTTGATTAAGTTTTATTAAACATGTGCTAGGTGATAAGTTAAAAGTTATCAGTACAATGTCTGTCGGTTATGAACATTTGGATATAAATGAAATAAAAAAAAGAAATATATCAATCGGTTATACTCCTGGAGTTTTAACTGATGCTGTTGCCGAATTAACTGTGGGTCTACTTATAGCAACTACGAGAAGATTTTTTGAATCTCATCAAGCTTTATTAGAGTAAATGCAGTTTTTATATATAAATTAATTAAAATCAATTCAATTTTATTAAATTGTTTCGATTGTAGTGGTGAATGGCCGACATGGTCTGCTTTGTGGATGTGTGGAGTCGGTCTAAAAAACTCTACAGTAGGTATTGTCGGATTTGGAAGAATCGGTCAAGCAGTTGCAAAACGATTAATCCCATTTGGAGTGTCACAAATTGTTTATAGTGGGAGAAGCAAAAAACCTGAAGAAAAAGAATTTAATGCAAAATTTATGAGTCTTGACGAATTGGTAACGATAAGCGATTTTGTTATTGTTACTTGTGCCTTAACTCCAGAAACCAAAGGAATGTTTCATAAGGATATTTTTAAAAAAATGAAACCTACATCAATTTTTGTAAACACAAGCAGAGGAGGTGAGTTAATTTTATCATTAAAATTTTTTTTTAATGGTTTCTTATGCTTTCAATGAGTGATTTCAGGTGTTGTTCAACAAGATGATTTAATAAATGCATTAAAAACTAATACGATAGGAGCAGCTGGTTTAGACGTGATGACACCAGAACCACTACCAACCGATCATGAGCTTCTTCAGTTAAAAAATTGTGGTAAGGTTTGAATAAAATGAATGATAAAATTTTTTCTTTGTATGTATTGCAATTATTTTTTTTTTTTTTTAGTTGTGATACCTCATATTGGTAGTGCTACCTATGAATCAAGGCACAATATGGCACAACTTACAGCTAACAATATTATAGCTGCTTTAGAAAAAAAACCAATGCCAGCTAGTTTGTGATTATTTTCTCAAAAGTTTATTTATTCAAATAATGATTCGAATAAATATATCTTATGAAAAATAATATATGAATTATTTCTTGTGCTGCCTTTCAATAATTGAAATGAATTCTGGAAGGAAAAAAAAGTAAAATAAACATTCAACCGTACAATCTCTTCAATTCCGTAAGTCAATTATACAATAATAATATTTTGATAAAAAAAAAAAACGTTTAAATACTCCTGAATATGAAATTCAAATTGAACATTGAAGCAAGAGGCAATTATTTAACCCTCGTTTCTTTAAAAAAGAAAATAATTTCATAGCGGTTAAACATTTCCATTGTTAAATTTCGATCTCCTTTTCAAAAAAAAATTATTTTTTTTTTTTAATTTGTATTGAAGTTAAAGTCAAGCGTACACACATAACGTTTGAAAACTTTTTCCAACCCTTATTATAATTGAATATTTTACGTTTATCCTTTTTCAACATATAAAATATTATATCATTTTCCATCCTTCTGTGCTTTCTTTCCTGGAGCCGGATGCTGCGCGCAAGCTCCGCATCATTGAAAACATTCAATCTATTTTCTCTAGTTTTCTTCACCTGCTTCCTCATATTACTCGTTTTGTTTTTTTTTTTTTTTTTTTTAGTTATTTTCTTTTTTGTTTTTTTTTTATTTTGTTGATATGTAATATTATCATTATCACTGATCGGTAATTATTAATTTGTTTTTGTTAAAAAAAAAAACAACGACGATTTAATTTATTTTGTGAAATATTAATTTAATTTATTAAATCGGACATGAATTTGTCTGTCACTATTCATTAAAAACATTTTAATAAAAAAAATTTCTTTTTTTATTAAATAATAATAATAATAATGATAGTAATTTAATTTAGGTGATCGATTGGTAAAATAAAAAAAATATTTCGTCAACAAAAAAAAAAAAAAAATTCTTGAGATTTAAAATTTGTTTATTTAATTATTATTATTATTATTATTATTACTATAATTGACGTGACGTAATTTTTTTCTTCTTATTTTTTTTTAGTCTTTTATCATCTCGTTAATGAAACAAAAAAAAAAAAATTTTTTTTTTAATAATAATTTTATAGGATAATTAAAGCATCATCGAGGTTAAGAAAAATAAAAAAAAGATGTAATCACGTTTTTAAATAAAATACACAAAACGTTAGGAGAAATATGTATGTGTATAGGGGGGGATGCTGCTGATGCTGATGCTGCTGCTGCTGCTGCTTGTTAGGGTTTGAATGGAAGGAGAAGGAGAAAAAACTGAGATACTTTAAAAAGTACGATCAGCTTCCCTTTGCAGTCAGAACCTTTTCTGCGCTCTCGTCGAACGCAGACTCTTTTTTCTACGTGCTTGATTCACTTTTTTTTTTTTTTTTTTTTTAAACACGAACAACACACATCGTTTAATAATAATCACATCATCGATAATATTCCGATTTTATTTTTAAATATGATCGAATTAAATAAATAAATAAATTGTGCGTGCGTGCGTGCGTACGCGCGTTTTTTTTTTTTTGTGCGTGTGCGAGTGTGTTCATGTAAACACACACACACACACATACGGAAACACTTATGTCGGATTCTGTTTATGTATGTAACGTGAATAAAGACATGCAGCAATCGCGGTGTATAATTGCCGACAAAGAAGAATCATCTGTACCTGGTGAAAGTCAATCAATGTTTACGGGTTGCTGTTGTTTGTGCTTTCCGAAAAAAAAAAAAAATCCGTCCTCATCGTCGAAACCACCTGATAAATCAAACGCCGCCATGGTACAAATGTTTTATTATGAAAACAGAGGGAAATGTTGCAAGAAATTGCTCAAATTTAACGGATATCCAAACAAGGTAAGTTAAATAAATAAATAATTAATAATAATAATAATAATAATTTTTATTTTCAGACATAAAAAAAAAATATCATTATTAATATGATACTCAAAAAAGAAAAAAAAAAAACATTTTCATCGATTGTAAATAATATTAAAAAAAAAAAAAATAATTTTATTTTATTTTATCAACGTTTGTTTCTATATTATTTTGTTTGTTTGTTTGTTTGTTCGTTTGTTTGTATTTGAAAAAAAAAGGTAATCTTCAGTTATTGCTGGAAAACACGTAAAATCTCAAAAAAAAAAAAAAAAAAATTAAATAAATAATAAAATATTGTTTTTTATGTATGACGTAACGTTTGTATTTACGTCACGAAAAATATTACAAATAGTTTTTTATATACTTCTGGAGAAGAAAAAGAAAAAAAACATCATTATGGAAAACTCACCCCTGTAAATTTTCTTTTCCAGTTTTTTTTTTACATTTTTTTTTTTCGTATATAAAAAGGTTTTATTTAAAAATGAAAACGAATTTGATTTAATTAATAAAAGTTTTAAAAAAAAAAAAAAAAAAAATGTCTCGTCGGGGTTTTTATTACAATAAAATATAAAATTATGGAATTTTCCAGTAAAAAAAAATATCGTTGGAAATTTTTTAAATGAAAATCTCATTTAAAATAAAATAAAAAAAATTTCATTTCCAGTAAAAAAAAGAAAAAATTATAGAAATATTTATTAAATGATAATAATAATAATAATAATTTCGTCGAGACGCCGCCATCGTTTTTCTTCTTCTTTTGTCTTGTCTTTTTATTTATTTATATATATATTTTTTTTCCCTTTTGGAAAAGAAAAAATTTAAAAAAAAAAAAAAAGAAAGAAAACCGTCTCGGCGCCAACCAACTCTAATTCCAGCCAAATTTTCCAAAAAAAAAAAAAAATGCCTACGAATAAAACTCACATAATTAAAAAAATTATTTTGTATTCATGGAATGACTGGATAAAAAATAAATTCAAATTTTTATTTAAAAAACGCAATTACAAAAAAAATTAAAAAACGTCCGTTAATCCCACATTACCTAATCCTAATCCTAATAATAATAATAATAATAATAATAAAAATGGTTGGTAAAACAAGTTGACATGATGTAAACACATGTCAACTTATTTAAATTAATTTTAATAGTTTTATTTAACAATTTACTTATAAGTTATATATATCAAAAATTTTGTTATTTAGTGTAGTTTATTGTGATATAATTAGTTTTTTATATTATTTAGTAATAACTATATTATTTTAAGTTTAAATAGTCAAGGGTTTCATGTGACAAAAGGAGGTGTAGGCGACAAAAAAACCTTGGAAGATCCCTTACAGTGTATCTAATTATTACGGATTTATCTCATTTCAACATAGTTTATTATATTGACAGTATAATCTTTCCATAAATCTATATCTACATAAAAAGAAATTGGTAACTTTTTATAGTGTTAAAAATTGAAAAAAGGCAAAACAGACTCCATTTATTAATTATACACCTCATGAGCTGATTGTAAGTAGTTAAAATAAATACCTTTATCACAATACATTTTATTTATGCAGGAATCCAATGTTTACATTTTATTATGAGCGAAAATCTGTTGTTTTAATTTTATTTTACTCTTTGCCTCCTTGTATTTTATGTTTTTCTGACACACTAGAGCCAATTTTTCGATATTTAAGTGTAAAATTATGATTTTAAACGACAATCCATTGTTTATTTACATTTTATGGGGGCAGCCATTACTTGTTTACAAGCGGGAATCCGATGTTGCAATTTACTGAGAGGGGAAATACACAATGTTGCAATTTTTTATAAAGGAGAATCCAATGTTGCAATTTACTTTACTTTAAACCTCCTAGGTATTATGTTTTTCTGATACATCAGTCCAAATTTTTCAATGTTTTCAGTGAAAAATGACCTCTGTAGGCGAAAATCCATTGTATACATTTTAGTTAAGCGGGAATCCATTGTTTGCATTTACTTATGCGCGAATCCAATGTTTACATTTTATTATGAGCCAAAATGTGTTGTGTTAATTTTATTTTACTCTTTGCCTCTTTGTATTTTATGTTTTCTGATACATTTGGTCAAATTTTTCGATATTTTTACTGTAAAAGTATGATTTTAGTCGGGAATCCAGTGTATACGTTTATTTTAAACGGGAATCCATTGTTTATTTACATTTTATGGGGGCAGCCATTACTTGTTTACATTTAATTTCAAGTGGGAATACAATGTTGCAATTTACTGAGAGGGGAAATTCACATTGTTGCAATTTATTATAAAGGAGAATCCAATGTTTACATTTTATTATGAGCCAGAATCTGTTGTGTTAATTTTATTTTACTCTTTTCCTCTTTGTATTTTATGTTTTCTGATACATTTGGTCAAATTTTTCGATATTTTTACTGTAAAATTATGATTTTAGTCGGGAATCCACTGTATACGTTTATTTTAAACGGGAATCCATTGTTTATTTACATTTTATGGGGGCAGCCATTACTTGTTTACAAGCGGGAATCCAATGTTGCAATTTACTGAGAGGGGAAATTCACAATGTTGCAATTTTTTATAAAGGAGAATCCAATGTTGCAATTTACTTTACTTTAAACCTCCTAGGTATTATGTTTTTCTGATACATCAGTCCAAATTTTTCGATGTTTTCAGTGAAAAATGACCTCTGTAGGCGAAAATCCATTGTATACATTTTAGTTAAGCGGGAATCCATTGTTTGCATTTACTTATGCGCGAATCCAATGTTTACATTTTATTATGAGCCAAAATGTGTTGTGTTAATTTTATTTTACTCTTTGCCTCTTTGTATTTTATGTTTTCTGATACATTTGGTCAAATTTTTCGATATTTTTACTGTAAAATTATGATTTTAGTCGGGAATCCAGTGTATAAGTTTATTTTAAACGGGAATCCATTGTTTGCATTTACTTATGCGCGAATCCAATGTTTACATTTTATTATGAGCCAAAATGTGTTGTGTTAATTTTATTTTACACTTTGCCTTCTTGTATTTTATGTTTTCTGATACATTTAATCAAATTTTTCGATATTTTTACTGTAAAAGTATGATTTAGTCGGGAATCCAGTGTATACGTTTATTTTAAACGGGAATCCATTGTTTATTTACATTTTATGGGGGCAGCCATTACTTGTTTACATTTAATTTCAAGTGGGAATACAATGTTGCAATTTATTGAGAGGGGAAATTCACATTGTTGCAATTTATTATAAAGGAGAATCCAATGTTTACATTTTATTATGAGCCAAAATGTGTTGTGTTAATTTTATTTTACTCTTTGCCTCTTTGTATTTTATGTTTTCTGATACATTTGGTCAAATTTTTCGATATTTTTACTGTAAAATTATGATTTTAGTCGGGAATCCAGTGTATAAGTTTATTTTAAACGGGAATCCATTGTTTGCATTTACTTATGCGCGAATCCAATGTTTACATTTTATTATGAGCCAAAATGTGTTGTGTTAATTTTATTTTACTCTTTGCCTCTTTGTATTTTATGTTTTCTGATACATTTGGTCAAATTTTTCGATATTTTTACTGTAAAAGTATGATTTTAGTCGGGAATCCAGTGTATACGTTTATTTTAAACGGGAATCCATTGTTTATTTACATTTTATGGGGGCAGCCATTACTTGTTTACAAGCGGGAAACCAATGTTGCAATTTACTGAGAGGGGAAATTCACAATGTTGCAATTTTTTATAAAGGAGAATCCAATGTTGCAATTTACTTTACTTTAAACCTCCTAGGTATTATGTTTTTCTGATACATCAGACCAAATTTTTCGATGTTTTCAGTGAAAAATGACCTCTGTAGGCGAAAATCCATTGTATACATTTTATTTAAGCGGGAATCCATTGTTTGCATTTATTTATGCGCGAATCCAATGTTTACATTTTATTATGAGCCAAAATGTGTTGTGTTAATTTTATTTTACACTTTGCCTTCTTGTATTTTATGTTTTCTGATACATTTAATCAAATTTTTCGATATTTTTACTGTAAAAGTATGATTTTAGTCGGGAATCCACTGTATACGTTTATTTTAAACGGGAATCCATTGTTTATTTACATTTTATGGGGGCAGCCATTACTTGTTTACAAGCGGGAATCCGATGTTGCAATTTACTGAGAGGGGAAATTCACATTGTTGCAATTTACTTGAATTCAACTTTACTTTAGACCTCCTTGGGTATTATGTTTTTCTGATACATCAGACCAAATTTTTCGCTGTTTTTAGTGGAAAAAATTGGAAATCCTTAGAAAAATGGGTTATGCAATTTGTCATACACTCGTGTATATATATTTGTATAATTGATAAATAACCATTTTTTGAATTTTATGTTACTCTGTACCTCGTTTTATCTTAAGTTTGTCTATTAACGTATTTAATTAATTAATTAATTTAAGAATCGGACCATGACAATATATATATTTATTTGTGTGTAAGGGCATAAAAAAAACAATTGTTATAATTACAAAAAAAATTTTTATATTAAATATGAATTACATTTAAAATATAATGCATACAATAATTTTTTTTTTTTATATATGTACATTGTGAGAATAAGATATTTATTATTAAAAATTTTAAATCATTGATTATAAAGTGCATTTAAAATAAAAAATAATTTATAATATTATTATTATTATTATTATTACTATAAAATTAACTTCTTTTTTTTTTAATGAATGAGAAAAAATTATTGATTTTTGATTGTAGAGCACATAAAATATCACAAAATTTTACTCGTGATAATAATAATAATAATTAATTATTAATTGAATTATTTACGTTTTTTAAACATCTAACCTTATACTTAATTACAAAGTAACTTTTTTTTTTTTTACACAGAATTGAATAGTATTTTTCTTTTTTGAAATTAATAATAATAGTAATAATAATAATAAACTATAAAAAAAGTAAAGTAAAATAAAATGAAAAAAAAAAAACAAAAAATCACAGAACAACACAAAATACCAATTTTTGGAATTTTTCATTTGATAATCCTAAAAGAAAAAAATATATATAAAAATGACGGATAAATGGGGAGGGAGGAAGAAGGGAAAAAAGGAAGGGGGGAAACGTTTTCGAAAGTATATATATATATGTATAAAATATATAAATAGTTTACCACAATATTAAAAAAATGAAACGTACGACTAGAATTAATGAGAACTTAAAAGTCCGTGTATTGCACTTCGTGTGCAGGTGAACTACTCATATAACCGGGCGATGGGGATTCAGCCTTTTCTGGAAGTGGACCTATATTTGCATAATGTCCTTTCTGCGAATTTAAAAAAAAATTAAATCACAATTTAGTTTAAATAATTTATTATTAATTTTAGAAAAAAATAAATAAATAAAAAGGAAACGTGGACTTACTTTAACAAATTCTCCATTTAATATTGAGCGATCGATTTTATGATATTCGTTACCCGAACGTGGTCTAAGAGTTGTTGCGGCTATTCTTGATATTCTAAAAATTTATATATATATATATATATATATATATATATATATATATATATATATATATAGTGTTTATTTATAATTAATAATATGATAAGATAAACTTATTTAAAATGGTTGTCACCTTAGAAACGAATCGGGAGCGTAAAAAAAAAAAAAAAAACTTTTTCATTTTTTACAAAAAAAAAAATCCTTTTAAATCCTTTTTTCAAACTGGGCGATCTGTGGGATGCTGACAGGTGTCGAATATCGAAAAAAAAAAAAAACACGAGATTTCGTCCGGAGAATTCAAAGTAAAAAAATTTTTTCTCGAAAATCTCCTGGAAAAGATTAAAAATGACAACTTTAAGTACATTTTTAAAATTAAAAACAAATAATAATAATAATAATAATAATAACAATAATAATAACAAAAGAAATTCCGTGTTATCAATTTAATGATAAAAACAACAACCGATAATTATTATTATTATTATTATTATTATTAATATTATTTAACTAAAATTTTGAATTTTTTTTTTTTTATTTACATTTTTTACTTTTATATTTTGTTTTTTGATTACACCTCCAGGAAATTTGATAATAACGTCATAAATCACGCGACAATTATTTTTCCATAAACAGAAATGGTGATAGATAATAATAATAATAATAATATAAAATAATAATAATAATGAATTCCATCGCAATTTTTCGCGAAATAGAAAATTTATATTTTCCATCGCAATATTTCTCAACATTCGATTTGACATTTTTTTTTTTCTCAACGATTTCAAATTTTTTTTTTCCTTTCAACCCCCCCGAAAAAAAAAAAAAAATTCTCACCCCTTTTCACGAATATTCATCTCTATAGAAAAAATTGAAATGAAATGAAAAATTCGAATCGTAATGGAAAATTGTTTAAAATATGTAAATTTACAAGAAATGAAATGATGTTGATAATGATGATGTAAAGAAAATATTATCGGGGAAAATAACAAAAGAGGGAGAAAAAAAAAAAATTTTTTAAAGGGAAATTCAACCCCCCTCCCCCCGTAATAATAATTAAGAATTATTATTATTATTATTATCATCGCTGATATTTTTTTTTACAAATTTTTTATGGGTAAAAAAGAAAATTTTTTTTTTTTTTCTTTCTTCAATTTGATTGAATGCACATTGCTGACGTTTTCCTTTTCCTTTTTCCTTTGAAAAAAATATATGAAACGTTGAATCCGCAATCGGAGATTGGAAATGATTTTAAGACTTATGTAGTAGTAGTAGTAAGCTTTTCATCTCCATTCCTAAAAAAAAAAAAATATTTTTCTATCAATTCAAAAAAATTTTTTTTTTCGACGTCGGCCATTTGAAAAAAAAAAGCACAATTTTTTCACAGGAGAAAAAATTCCATTTATTTATTTTTATTTTTTTTTTCTGCTTCGATGACGTCATATATTTTTTTCTTTTCCTTTGTGATTTCATATTATATATTATTGAATAAAACGTAAAGTTAAAATACGACGTCAAATACCCATTTGAAAATTTAATAATAATAATAATAATAATAATAATATTTTTAATTTCCTTTTAATCGTACCCGAGAGTATTTAAAGAGAAAAAAAAAAAAAGGAAAAAATTGGTTGACATAAATGAAAACGTTAATAAAATAAAAAGAGAGAGATAGAGAGTGAAAAGTGTAATATCCACCAAAAAAAACAAATTTGTTTGTTTGTTTATTTCCGTTTGTCGTCGTAAGATTTTCTTTTTTTTTCTGGAAAATTTATTTTAATGACGATTGTTTTATTTTTTTGGCACTTTTTTTTAAAAAAAAAAAAAAAAAACTTTTGCAATTTTTTATTTACACACGTTTCGATTCATAAATTAAAACAAACAAACAAAACAAACAAACAATAAAAAAAAGGTTCAAATTAAAAAAATAAAAAAGAAATATTAGCGGTTGTTGTTTTGTTTTGTTTTTTTTTAAATTACTCCGGTAATTTTTCTTATTCAGGTGCAAAATTTCAATTTATTACTTTTTTTTTCATTCGTTCGTTTGTTTGTTTGTTTGTTTGTTTCACGGTCTAAAAATTATTTATATCGACTCGAAATACTTTTTTTCTTTTTTTATTAGTTTTTGAAAACTTTTTTTTTTTCAAATTCGAAATAATTTTTTTTAATTATCACTCATCAAAAACAAAAAGTAATAAAAATTTTATCAATTTTAAAGGTGTTTGTTTGTTTGTTAATGAACAAACGAATGACCCGTTATCATCTGATTTTAAACTTTTTTCTTTCTTTAAAATTATTCGTATATACAAACAACTAATGAATTTATTTTAAAAGGCAAAAATGGTAGACTAAGGAACAAACAAACAAACAAACAAACAAACGAACGAATGCTAATTTATCAGAGAGTGAATCTAAAAAAGACATTTTGATTTATTAAATGTCTTTCCTTTTACCCAAAAAGGCTTTCACTCACTCTCTCTCTCTCTCTCTCTCTCTCTCTCTATCTTTCTCTTTCTTTCCTTTTATCGAGTTGTTGCGTCTTCGTCAATCGGTTAATTTTTTTTTTACATTTAAGAAATTAACCGTCAAATATAAACCGCGCACATCAATACATTCAAATAAATAAATAAATAAATAAATTGATTAATGACTTTTTTTTTTTTTTAATTATAAAAAACCTCAAACCGGAAATATTCAATTTTCGTTCGGTTTTTTATTATTATTATTATTATTTGTTTCGTTAAAAAATCAATCGATCGATCGATCAATCAATCAATTATGTCAAAAATATACAATTTATTTATTTATTTATTTTAAAAAAAACCGATCGATTTATCGAAGTACGTGTGACACTTTAATTAATTTTTTTTTTTTTTAAATTGTAAATAATCATTATTATTATTACTATTATTATTATTATTGTTTTGAAAATGAGAAAATTTGTAATATGAAAACGACAGAAAAAAAAAGTATAAATTTTAGACATTTCAATTACTTAAGGTAACAAAAAAAAAAAAAATTTGAAAACCTGTCGTTTCGTTTTGTTTTGGACATTAGCAGAAGAAAAAAATAAAAAATACTCTTGGGAAAAAAAAAAAAAAATTTTTTTTTTCTTTTTCATTGTTAAGGGATGACGATGACGACGACGAGTGCAATTTACACCCCTTAAAAACGAACCCCAAAAACAAAATTCGATTTTTATTATTCGCCTTTCTTGTATGGGTGACGACGACTCACACACGTTGCTTTCTCTGTCTCCATATTGGTTTTCTCTATGGAATTTTCCTTTTTTTTATTTTGCATTGTTTTCGAGCTGTTGCACATTTAAGGGTTTTTAACGTAGAAAATGAAAAATTTGACTTTAAATTCTTCAAACGCCTCTCCTCTTCTCTCCTCCCATCTCCTCCCATTTTCTCTCATCTCTTCCGCTTCCTCCTAAAAAAAAAAAAAAATAATAATTTTACAATTTTTATCATTATTATTCGTTATAATTACGTAATTAAAAAAAAAAACTTTATTCGTAATAAGAAAAAAAAAGAGAAAAATTTTCATTATTATTATTATTATTATTATTATTATTATTATTTTTATTCTTAACAAGGCTCGTAATTGAATTTTTCTTTTCAGTTTTCATTTATTTTTTTTTTTAATCGCAAACAAGATTATTTTTTCTTATTACCTTTTTTACAATTTTTTTTTTTAAAATAATAATAAGATAATCGTTTTCGGGGGGTGGGGTGGGAGGGGGGTCGGGAAGGGGAAATAATAATAATGATGATAAATCACAATATATTTATTTTTAAAAAAAATGCACAAAAAGTTTTTAATAAACGTCACCGATTTAACCGTGGAAAATTTAAAATAAAAAAATTTGGTCGCCATTTTGTTTTTTTCCTTTTTTTTCTATTTATTTAACCTTTGACCTTGTTTTTTACGACCACCTTTTTTTTTTTTTTTGTTCAATTTTAACGGCTTTTAATTTTAAAAATACTTAAATTGCAATTTCTTTTTTTTTTTTTTTATTCACCAACTAATTAATAATAAATTATAAAAGTTGAATGAATGAAAAATTTATTTTTAACAAAAGAGAGAAAGAGAGAGAGAGAGAGAGAGAGAGAGAGAGCGAGAGGGGAGAGGGAAAAACTTAAAATTTTTTTTAAAGACGACGAAAATTTATTACGTAATTATTACTATTATTACCACTTTAAATTAAAAATTAATTTTAATGATAATTTTATCGATTAATTAGTTACTTAGTTAAAAAAAATAATAATACTATGTTTTCGTTAACGAGGGGAGAAGAGGGAAGAAGGGAAAGAGGAGAGGTTAATTAACCGTGATAAATAACATTTAATAAAAGAAATATAAGAGAAGAAAACAAAGGAAAAAAGGAAAGAAGGTTTAGTTAGTGAAAAATGTTTATGCGAATTTTATATGCAGTCGTCGGAAGTTGGTGCGTGGGAGTGCGGTTATCTCGAACAAGTTTAAAATATGACTGCAATAAGGTATAATTCAAAAATGTGTTGTTTATAAGGGTGTAAAGTTCCGGTTGTCAGAGGGGTGGGGAGCCGGGAAGGGTTTTTCCTTTTCGTGATATATTAAACCCAACGTTTTAAAAACCTTAAGAAATTTAAATATTTTCCCACCTCCCCCATTTCCCTTCTCGGTTTCTTTTTCTCGCGGTCCCTGTTAAACATGAAAATTTAAATGCCGGTTTATTATTATTATTATTATTCATCACCCCCTAGATTATTAACGTCTTAACTTATTTTTTTTTAAATTAAATTTTCAATAAATATTCTTTATTAATAATTGAATATTATTAATTTTCCAACACGTCGTCGTCGTCGTGGTAGTAAGTGTACATTCTCACAAAAAAAAAGAATAATATTTTTTTTTTTAATATATACTAATGATCAAAGTCCGTCCGTCATTGTTGCCACACACACACAAAAAAAAAAGGTTAAAATCCCAAGAGTTTTTCCTGTTGTGGTATAGAAATTGTTTGACACAAAAGGTGGATGGACACTTTAACAAAACTTTAATTCAATCTGACGCCAATTTAAAATTATTTTCAATTCCCAAAAGGTTCAATTAAAAAGACTTAATTTTTATTATTATTATTATTAGTATAAAATTCAAAACCGTCAACCGTCAAAAGGTTAAAAAAAAAAAAAAATAATAATAATAAAACAATAAAAGTTTTGAAAGTTTTTTTAAAAAAAAAATAATAATAATAACAAACACGAGAAATTAATTAATGTTTTTTTTTCAAATTTAACACTCCCCATCCCTCTCATCCCTTTCCCTTCCCCCTCCGGTTGTCGGTTTAAAAAAATCTTTTTTTGGGAAGACCTTTTATTATTAAGATTAAAAAAAAAAAAAAAAAAAAAACTCGTAGAAAGTAATAAAAGTATCAAATTGTTTTTCCACCTTAACTCCTGACGCGCGCTCGTGTGTGTGTGGGGAGGAAGGGGGTGTAAAAGGTGAGAATAACAGCACGTGGTATACTACCACCCCCCCCCCCCCAAATGACATGTCTTAATCGCCGTTAGGGAAACTTACGTTAGATAAATTTATTGCGAAAAGTGCTTTGCGAAGTAAATTGAGAAGAACCGTGAAATCGTTCCCAAGACGCAAATGAGAATGTTTGTTTAAACAACAGCAAAAAAAAAAAATTTATTTTTTTCATACGAAAAAAAAAACTTTCGTCAATTAATTTTACATCGAGGGGGTGGGGGTGGGGAGGGAGAGTACCTTTTTAAATCTCTCATAACATTAATTTTTATTTAATTATTTTTTCCTTTTTTTTTTCTTTTTCGTTTTACTTTTTCCTTACCCCCCTCCCCCCACCACCAACAGCGAAGAAACCAAGGGAAAAAAAATATTTCGAAAAAGGTTTTTTTTTTAAATATAAATTTCAAAAAAAAAAAAAAATGGAAATCAAAAAGAGTTCGAGGGGGTAAAAAAAAAAAAAAAAGAAAACTCTATTGAAGCCATGTACGAAAAGCTTAAACTCAGCTTCTGCTTAAAAAAAAAAAAAAAAATAACCCTACGGGGTTCTTTTCTAAGTAATTCACTCGTGGCGGTGGTAGTGGTGGTGGTGGTGGTGATGGCGGCATAATAAAAAGAGTCGAAGATATAAGAGAGAGAGAGAGAGAAAAAAAGAATAATGTTATTATTTTCCTGAACGTGTGTACATCAAAGTGTTGATGGATGAGAAGGTGGAAGGTTTTGATTATACCTTATATTCGTATAGAAAAAAAGAAAAGTGTGAGAAGTGAATAATGTCTAAACTCTTATAAGAAAAAAAATATATATATATATATTTTTTTTGGGGAATTTGATGAAGGAGCATTAAAACCTGAAAATAAAATTTTTTTTTTTTTTAGTTAAAAGCGAAAAAAAAAAAATAAAAAATTACTCCTCGGAAAAGTCGGGGGAAAAAAAAAAGAAAAAAAATCGTAAACCGTTATATAACTTCACCGTAAAAACATCATTGAAAAAAATAAATAAAAAAAAAAACTAAATTGAATTTTCAATGAGATATAATCAATCGATTTTTAATCGTACCGGAAACTCACTTAAATCATAGAGAAAATAAACGTTTTAAATTTTAAAAAAATTTTTCCAACTCGTTCCGTTGTTTGTTTTTCCAACACGCCATTTTTTTTAATTAGAAATTTTTTAATAAACAAATTTTTTTACAAATTTGTATTTTTGGCACGAAACGACGCCATTTTTTTTTTTTTTTAAATTTTCGCGATCGTAATTTACTACTATTATTATTATTTTAATACGAATAATAAAGAAAAAAAACATTTTAAGAAAAATAAGAGAGAGAGAGAGAGAGAGAGAGAAAGAAAAAAATTATTTTTCCTTCCTTCCTACGTTTTCCCCCGTCGGAAAATGATTTCTTTGCCTTTCGGCCAAAAAAATTTCAACTTTACCCCATGAGACTAAATTTTTTTTTTTTTTTTTTCGTATTCGATCATTTTCTTCTTTTATTACTAAAACTACAACCACTTTTCTTTTTTCTTTATTTACTCTTTTTCTTTTTTTTTTTTTATTTGAAAATTTTCACTAAAAATAACCCGAATGCATCATAAATAAATTCCATGAGATAAATTTTCTATTTTTTTTTTTTCGGAAAAACGTTGAAGAATTTTTTTTATTTATTTTCTTTTGTATCGATTATTCTTTTAGAATTCAGAGAAAAAGAAAAAAAAATAATAAAAGACAATAAAAATGGAATTTATAGAGAAAAAAAAAAGAATTTGAAGTCTCGAAAAAGAGTGTGTGAAAAAGAAAAGAAAAAGCTCTAAAGCTTAAATTTAAGTCCTTCTTTTTTTTTTTTCATTGCGTTTAATGAACCGATTTTCCTTACGTACGTGTAAATAACAATGCAATTAAATTATTCAACTAATAATAATAATAATAATAATGTATTATATTTCACGAAATAATGTGCGAATAAATAGAAAAAAAAATGGTAAACACGCGAATAAAATAAATAACTGTCGAAATAAAAAAAAAAAAAAAAATTGATTTTGTACAATTTTTCAAAAACACCTGCATCGATTTAAAAGTCTTGCGTGAGGAGTTGGGAGGGGGGAGAGGGGGGAGAGGG